CTGTCATAGAATTTTTTTAGGGAAAATGCTGAAAAATTTACAAAAAGTAAATGTTCATAGAGAGTCATCAGATTAGTAGATGGGTCAGTAGAGTTAAGAGCAATCCTAGAGTGAAAGGAGAAACTGACCTTTATGACAGGAGAACACAGTGGCAGGTCTGCTGCTACGAATGAATGTAAAACTAAACAGATTTTTAGATTATTACAGCTAACGGAAAACTGGTCTTTGAACACTTTGAAAGCATTCAACAGTTTAGTGAATTTCTTCACTACTCAAAGATCTGTGCAAGGTGGATTACCAGAATACGGTCAGAATCCATGAAGGAACAAATAATGGTTGCTGCTAAAGTATTTTTAGCCACCTGACCTGTCACTCTCAAACTTCATCGACTTAGGGCCATGAAGGAAGTTTTTAGAAAACAATGATTCTTCAATGAAAATGAGATCAAGAAGGCAACTCCCATGTGATTCAGTAAGTAACTAAAATACATCTACGATGCAAGTTTACAAAGATTCATTCAAAATCGGAATACCATGATTGAGAAGAAAGGAAATTAGGTTGGGAAGAAGACTTTTAATACTGATATGTTTTTTTTACATTTATTATTAAATCTGGTATAGTAAAATAATAGTCATTACGTTTTCAGTGACCCTTGTATTTAAAAGCAGGATGCAATGGGTAAATTTCATATTTTAATTCCGCGCATGCGCGATGTTTGTTTTTGATTTTGTCGACAATATTGTATAGTCGACAGTACAGTTAGTCACCGTCTGTGAGAAAAAGAGTAGCATGATGCAATTCACTCCGCCAGAAATTTGAAAACGACTTGCCGTACTGCTTGGCATTCACGCCCGGAAGCTCCAATACGAACATTTCAGAGTGTATGAGTGTCAAGCTGAGGACAGGGCAGAGAATTCGAAAAATGAGTTTAATGTTGATTACAAAGGTGTTTGAAGCGATCACATGGTGAAATTATACCTCTATTCACCTTCCCACAGGGTCTTAGACTCAACTCGATACTTATATCAAGTGCCTTGAGGAAATAGTGCTGCCCAGGGAAGACTGCATGTCTGGCAACAGGACTCTGCACCATGCCGCACAAGCAGGCGATCCCAGTTATGGTTAACAGACAATTTCTGCAATCACATCACACCTTAAATCTGTGCACCTAACTCCCCAGACTGCAACCCCCTTATTATTTGTGGGGCGCAGCTGAGCAAGAGACCAACAAAACTCCTTGTAACACTAAAGATGAACTGAAGGCAAAGATTACGGCAGCATTCACCAAATTAAACAGGGAGATTGCCCAGAAGAGTTGAAAGAGATTTCGAAATCATCTAGTGTACATGGCTGAAGCCAATGGCGATTTTACTGAATAAATTTATTCTTTGATATTTCAAGATATTTATGCGAAATTTTCGTAAATATATCTGTTAAAATGAGATGTCAGTGTTATTTTCATAGTTTCATAATTTAGACGACAATTTATTCATCGCACCTATGCATATATATATATATATATATATATATATATATATATATATATATATATATATATATATATATATATATATATATTATTATATATATAAAATATTTAAGTAAATGTTCTGTTTATAATAAACAGTATTAACATTTACCGGCCTGTTGTTAATACTGTTTATTATAAACAGAGCATTTACTTAAATATTTTTGCATATATAAATAACGTATAACAATAAAATATATTGAAATAATTGTCGGACTTCGTCCATTTCGTAGTGTGTGACGTCATACATAGATAAATACATACATATATATATATATATATATATATATATATATATATATATATATATATATGTATCCCAGCTATAATTAGATAGCAGTGTTGACAGGCCTTTCTAGCCACAGTTAGCAACCACTGTAAGAGAAAGGCTACTCTGAATTAAAAACAGTATGCAGCTCTAGCAAAGCGCATACTATATAGCTATGAAAAAGATGAAATATTTGACTGAGGCGCATGTTTGCGAACTTTAGATCTTGACTGTGGTCGATGTGATAGATAGATAGATAGATAGATAGATAGATAGATAGATAGATAGATATGAATAGAATGAGATAGATAGATAGATAGATAGATAGATAGATAGATAGACAGATAGATAGATAGATATGAATAGGGAGAGATGGCTGTTATATAAATAGGTATATCAATATATCTATAGCCTTATGACGAAAAAAGCTGTCATTTTTACACATTCATTTATTTTTCAACATAATCTACTTCCTTGACAATGAACTTAATTCCATGCCTAATCATAAAAGAAACTAATGAAATATTTACAGAATCAATTTTCGCACAAACCAATTGAACTCTTGTTGTCTTTATTTTGCTGCTCTCACACTTGACATGCAATAACCCCATTTGGCAATCTATACTCGAAACGAAAGAGAAAAAATTCATCTGGCCGGCCATTAACTTGTGTAGTGATTTCAGTTCCCACCAGGTGGTGCACATCTGGTGATTCTATACCAGACTATAGGAAGCAAAGTTTTGTTCATATCTCAGTGTCATATGATGCAGATTAATTTAAAACAACCTCGACGTGCAAGCAGCTGAAGGGTTCTGATAGTGAGTTTTGAGGAACGTGGAACCACCTCTTAATTGCTGTTGTTTGCAGGTCCACGGGTCGAGACACTATGAAAGTATAAAAATACACTTTTTGTAGTAAAAAAAATTCCAGCAATAGATTTTGATAGTAAAAAAAATAAATAATTACCAAAGCTACCAATCAAATTAAATTTCAGCATTAAATGACACGTAAGAAGTTGTTATACCGTTAAACCAAACTAAAACTAAAATAAATTACAAGCTGCTATTACTGCTTTGATTTTTAAATGGATGTCACTTGATTTTTAGGTGATGAATTAAAATTAAAAGGGGAGAAGGAATTGTTTCGAGGTGAAAAATTTCAGATAGAGGATGGCAGACTCCAAAATTGAAAGGTATATTTATTTCATTTTCTCGCTCCTCCCCTCTCTCTCTCTCTCTCTCTCTCACACACACACACACACACACACACACACACACTATATATATATATATATATTAAATATATATATTAAATATATATATATATTAAATATATATATATATTAAATATATATATATATTAAATATATATATATTAAATATATATATATATATTAAATATATATATATTAAATATATATATATTAAATATATATATTATATATATATATTAAATATATATATATTAAATATATATATATATATATATATATATATATATATATATATAAAAAAGGCTTAAAACTAATATTCCATTGGAATCGTAAATACGATCCAATTCATCAGACCTACCTACAAATTCAAAAAATTTGCATATGTATGTGTATATTTATCACTAATATTTTCTATCTATCTATCTATATATATATATATATATATATATATATATATATATATATATATTTATAAATATATATATATTTTAAAAAATAAAAAAACGTTTTTGTTTGAAATGTGGATTATTTTTTTTTTATTTTAAGAAGTATATTATGCTCTATTTTCCATAATTCTGCTACATAGGTTTCTGGTTGCACGACCATCTTCAAGCAAAGAGTAGATATTTCCACATATTATAAAAACAAATTGTTTGCGTGGTCGTGCTTCAAATGTCTTTCTTTTATAGATATAATGGCTGCCTTCTCGTTATCCAATATAGCCATCACCCATCACGCAACTTTCCTCAAAAAACTTTCACCAGTTCCACGCACAGATATGACTTTTAAGTCCAGCCAGTGATTTGCATTGTTTTTCTCAGACTTGTCAGTTATGACCATTCACAACACTAGATACGTTTTAGGTAATACTGCTGTGATTTATCCAATAATGTTGCCCTTTAAGCCATACGTCCCACCCAGTACAATACAAAAGCATCATGCAATACCGGTGCATTAAATTTTTAAAGTGAGGAAACAGTGCACAGGATCAGCCCCACTCTCTGAACAACACAAGCAATGATCCGAAGAAAACATCAACATAATCAGTTGCTTATGTGTCGTAGTTGTTACATCAGAGGTTTCCTTGTTCTAGGGAGAAGTGCCAACAAAGACTAAAGGTTCTCTCAAAACCCCACCCCACCACACACCCATATATATATATATATATATATATATATAATTTTCATTAAAGACGACTGTGAGTATAAATGTTTTCTTTCCTACGTGTGTAATATATATATATATATATATATATATATATATATATATATATATATATATATATATATATCAAAAAAGATTGTGCTTCGCCCATAAAAAAAAAAGTTGACAAGAGTATTTCTAAAGGAAAGAACTATTTAGCCAAAGATTCTTTGTATATAAAGAGATCAGTATTAGCAAATAGATCATTAATAATAAACAAATAAAAGAAAATCTTCAAAAACTCAACTTCCTGACTTTTAAACTAACACCTGATATGAAATTGCACCTGCAAGATTAAGTTTTTCAAATTTTTTATTATGTTTAATTACAATATATATATATATATATATATATATATATATATATATATACACAACGTATACATACATATATATACATGTGTGTGTGTGTGTGTGTATATATATGTATGTATGTATGTATAATGTCTGCTCATTTCAGAATACGCCCATATGATAGGGAGTGGATGCTAATTCATTCCTGTAGCTGGCACTCTCTTAAAAACATTAGTGTTTCTTCATTTGTGTTTCTTTAACACACAAGTATCCTGTGACTTATACTGCAACTATACTGAACAGACCTAGCAGCACTTTCCGGGAGAGAAGATTTAATCTGTCGGTATCAGGAGTTAAACAAAGCTAATTATGGTGAGATCCAAAGCCAGGTTTCATGGTCAAAACGTTAAGATCCACAATCATATATATATATATATATATATATATATATATATATATATATATATATATATTATATATTTGAATATTCTATGAGCCTTTTGAAAGTATTTGCTATATATTTATCGTCTTCGTGTATATGCATATGTTTGCTAATTAAATAGAATCCAATGATCATTCCAGATTTTATTTAGTTGTTATAACATTAGAAATTTCTATTCTAATCATAACGGAATGGTGAGTGATTGTTCTACCTGTACCTGCTACTCTTGACGATTTAAAACATGGAATTGTTGAAATTAAGATGTCAATTCCAATTTATTCAAGTGTGGCAAGAAGTGGAATACCATTTCAGTGTTTGTCATGCAACACATGGTGCCCATGTTTAGTGCATACAAGTTGAACATACTTAAAATAATAAACTTTGAATCTTTTTTCTATCCAATGTGTTTTTTTTTTGTTGCTTAGCATTTGTTTTCATTAAATTTTCAAAATTTTCTCTTTCTTTTTCAATAACCCTTATCAACCCTGATATATATATATATATATATATATATATATATATATATATATATATATATATATATATATATATATATATTACATGAATCATTCATACAAAAAACAGATATTGAAGTTAATGATATAAATGGCGAGAATCCATCTTCGCAAACAAATTTAATAAATTACATTAACCCCGAACCTGTATATGAATGTCATGATCCCTGTTTATAAATTCCAGTTGCATAAAGTCTTTTTTTAATTTTTTACAACTTTCCATGAATCTCTCACGTACATTCATAACTGCTCATGGCGTACGTGAGAGATTCATGGAAAGTTGAAGTTTATAAGCAGTAAATTTGACCTTTCTAACCGAACGATCCTTTGTGGCCGAGCGGTAAGGCACGTCCGGCTATATGACGGTTCCGTATAGGACGAATATTTTCTATGAAAATTTCTCGGCCATTCAAGCCGGTAAATGTTATTTGATACTGTTTATTAAATTACTTAAAATTAAATTACTTAAATACTTGTATCTATAAAAAGAATGTTAAACATAAAAATGTCTTTAAATAATTGTCGGGCTTTGTCCATTTCATAATATATATATAGTTAAGTAATGAAACGTTTGGTAATCCGTATGGATAATCCCAAGGAGGATGTAGTCCAGAGATCTCAATGTCAAACTAGAGTAACTATTAGTTTAATTTAATTAGAAAACTGACAACTTTAAGGATCCATTGATTGTATTTTATTTGCCTAGGTAGGTGATTTTTACCTGGTTCATCTGATCACATTTTCAAAGGTAAAAAGGGGTTTTAAATTTACGTATTATTTTTATATACAGTTGCGGGGAGGGGCAAATATTCGTACACATACAAATGAATAAATATACTTTTCATTTTGTTTTTGTTTGTTTTTTTTAACATTTCACCTCAAGCAAGGCGGGAGTGCCACTAGTACGCAAGGGGTTACAGAGAGTGAGAATAAGAATTAAGAGTAAAAAAAATGGTGTTTGAGAAAAGGATATAAAGAAGGATGGTGATCAGGATCAAGGCATCAGAAGATGTCGATTGATATTACATTTGAATATTTGAAGATTATAGCTATCAAGGAAGCAAGTAGGAGGAAGAGAGTCCGACTGTGTGAGAGAAAAGGCTGTTGGAGTAGAAGAGGCGGTTATATTTTAACTGTTTCAACAGTGATAGGGTGGGACCGAAATGCCAACCTAGCATCACGCTTAAATTCATGCAGATGAGGTACCAATGAAAGTAGCTCGTCAGAGCTACCATGAAAATATTTGTAGAAAAGACTGAGGGCAGTCACATGCGTTCGTAAGAAAGTGGCTGGAGTCGAGATGCCAGGTCAGGATCTATCACATTGCATATCCGTCTTTGGATTTTGTTGAGAACCTCGAGATGAACGGCAGGGGCACCAGACCATATATGGCAACAGTATTCAATGCAAGAGCGAATGGTACATTTGTAGATTCTAAGGATGGACTCAGGCGAGAAAAAACCTTCTGGCGCGACACAGAGAACCAACTTTCCTATCGGTAGAAGAAGCTATTGATTCAATGTAGCTGTCCCACCTCGGGTCAGTGGAAAACGTGAAACTAAGAAAGCGCAGAGAGACGCTTTCGGGGAGTTGGGAATAGGCCATGTTGATAATAAACAGGGAGTGTTCTCTATGGTGGGTAAATGAGAGCAGTTTCGTTTTGGAGGCATTAAAGATTGAAAGCCATTTCCTACCTCGTTCAACCAACGATTGGAGATTCTTTTCGAGACCGGCGGCCAGGTTAGATGTCGGATTTACTACTGAGACAACAGATGAGGACATCCAACAGGCTAGAAAGCAAGGCAATAATTATATAGTTTAGAGAGAACTGGAGCAAGCTCAGAATCACATTTCTTTAGGACTATGGATGGTATCCAATCACCACCACTAGCCTTATGTGAGTCTAATTTAGAGACGACGTCCAATACCATCGACTGAGTTATGCTCATCTAGCTCAATAGAGCCTCAGTTCTAGGGGAGAAATCAGGTGTGGGTATTCCGGATGAGTCGAGCGTTGAACTGGATGAGAATTTCCGAG